GAATGTGTAATTAAGTCAGGATTTAATCCTGGGTTTCCTGCTTGATGCCACCTCCACTGCCACTTGAGCTGCATTCAGCCCTTCCCCAGAGCTGTGCACTGATCCTCCAGAGGAAAACACCCTCAGGACTCTGCTGAAATCAGAGAGAATTAGAGCTGTCTGAGTCCACATTCCCTGGCTGGGAATAGCTGTGGCTCCAGGTTAATAAGGGATATCTGCAAGGTTAATGATGTGGCTGTGCAGGGAGAAGAGCTGTCCGGGAATGTGATGTCTGTGGCTCATCCCAGGCTGCTGCAGCACTAATTCTGCCAGGCCCTGAGTCTGCTTGGCTCTGCTCATTGCCAAGGCAGTTGAAGAGTCTTTTGAAGAGGAACTTAGAGCTGGAGAGAGGCACAAAGTCAATCCCTCTCCAGCAAGCCTTGAGGGGCTTTCTCCAGTCCTCCTGAGAGATGTCCTGAGCTGAGCCTCCATCTCCGTTGGCTGAAGAAACCCAACACAAACTTGCCTTAATTTAGAAGCCACAAGAAAATCCCAACCTGTTCCACACCCTCCTCCCTTGGGGTCTCTCTGCAGGAGCTCAGATGCAGCCTCAGGATGTACCAGGTCCTATCTCACCATGGGGCTAAAAGGAAATCTGAGTGCTGGGGGAGCTCATTCCTGGGGGAGCTCATTCCCAGTGCACTAACCATGCCATCCCTCCCCAGGCTGCCTGACAGAGTGGGATGGAGTGAGCTGCTGGTCAGCCCTGCCCGTTGGCCAGTCCCAAGCTGTGGCCTGCCCTGACATCCTCCACGTCTTCAAGAAGTCCCAAGGTGCAGTGCTCTGATCCAGCCTGGAGCCACCCAGGGGGGCTGATCCAGCACCCATCCCCTGGGATAGAGGGCTGAGCTGCACCCACCCACCCTGCCTGGGACCCTTGTGCCACCCCAGCCCTTCCCTCTGCTCCTGCCTCTCCAAAACACCCTGGGTATATTACAGCCCAAGCAGGAGATGGGCTAAGGCAGAAATTCAGGCTGCTGCCAGGCCAGGAAAGTCCTCAAATCCTTTCATCACTCAATGCCCTATAGGGAAATCACCTAGGGTGACAGCAGAACAGTCCCTTGGTGCTCTCCTTTCCCCCTCCACACAGCAGCCTAATGCTCCTGAGCTGCTCAGCATCACTCCAAGCCACAGGGATGGAAAATGCAGTGGAAGATCATGATGATTTCAAGGCTGGTGCCCTCCTAGGGTGGGCACTGCTGCCAGGGGAGCTGCTGCCTCCATCCCTCTTGGAGCAGCAGAGTGTGAAGGACTCACCCAGCCCCTGCAGCATCCCAGTGCTTCCTTGGCCAGGAGTGACTGGAAAGGTGATGGGGGGTTAGTAAACACTTGCTTTAGGGCAGGAACAGCTTGGGAGAGGCTTGCTGAAGCCCTCACAGGATGAATAAACACTTTCTTAGCCTTACCCCAAGCTGCCCTGGCAGGGATGTGACCCAGGAGGGATGGGGCAGCCATGGGGACACACACTGCTGGCCCAGGATGGATATTTTGGGGGGCTGATGCAGAGGTGATCCCTGTGGCTCTGCTGAGGTCTCTTCTTGTTGTTGCAGTGCTGATCCAGAGGAACTGCACCGAGGCAGGGTGGAGCTTCCCCAGCCCTCCCTACCACAGTGCCTGTGAGCTGGAGAGCATTGGCAGCAGCAACGACACCGAGGCCAAGGCAAGTGGGTCCTCTGGGGCTGTGGGGCACCCTGTGCAGCATCTCCTTCCTCACATCACCCTCCCCACATCACCCTCCCCATGCTGACCTCATACCACTGAGCAAAGAAGCACAAAGATGTACTGTGCAGTCCCTGCTGCCTCACTCCACTGGTGCTTTCCCTTCCAGAGAGGCTATTTTGTCACCATGAAGGTGCTTTACACCTGTGGCTACTCCACGTCCCTGGCAGCCTTGTTCCTGGCCATTGGCATCTTCTCCTGCTTCAGGTAGGGCTCAGTGCTGGCTGCTCTGTGGGCTACAGCTGGAGGAGAAAGGGGTAAACCATCCTCAGGCATGAGAGGAACCACAGCCTTGTCCTTCACTGCTGACACAGACTAAACTCTTCCCTTGGGTACAGCACATCTCTTGCTCCTGCAGGAAGCTGCACTGCACCAGGAATTCCATCCACATCCACTTCTTCACCTCCTTCATACTGCGTGGGGCTGCTGTGTTCATCAAGGACATTGTCCTCTTCTCAGACGAGTCCATCGACCACTGCACCATGTCCACAGTAAGGCACCAAGTCCCAGCCTGGCCATGGTGCAGGAGGGCAACACAGGTCTCCTTGAGGGCATGGACAGGGAGGGTGACCATCCCCTGTGCCCCTAGGATGGGATGTGATGCCAGCCAGCTCTCCTGAGCCTTCCCCCTCCTCATCCTCACAGGTGAACTGCAAAGCAGCCATTGCCTTCTTCCAGTACTCAGTCCTGGCCAACTTCTACTGGCTGCTGGTGGAGGGTTTGTACCTGCAGACCCTCCTGCTGCTCACCTTCACCTCTGACAGGAGGTACATCTGGTGGTACATCCTCATTGGCTGGGGTGAGTGTGGGCTCCCCTGGCACACCAACCCCTCCAGCAGATCTCACTGACTGACCAGGGGCAGCAACCACCTTCAGGGGTTGTCTGTTCTGAGAGCCACCTCACCTGGCCAGAGGTGAACAGGAGTAATGGTGCCCTTGTCTCACTCACCCCATCATCTCTCTGCATGGCCTTGTGCTTGGTGGGCACCCAGCAGGTCCTGCCAACACCTGGAGCTGGTTGGGCAGCATGGCCTGATCCATGTCCTCGTGGCATGTACTCAAAGGGGAAAACTTCCTGATGCCAACCAAAGAGCCTTTGCCCACCACCTGCTGCCAGCTCAAGCTGACTGTGGTCAGGATGGGACAGAGACAGGTCCTGCCACCTTCTGACACCTGTCTGGGTCTGGGAACACCACCCTGGGTGCTCAGGCTGGATGTCAGAGCACACACAGGGGCAGGAGGGTGGCCAGGAGGTGCCACACAGACACATCAGTGGGCACCATCTCCTTTTAAACCCTGGAGAAGATGGAAAGGCTGTCACCTTCCTGCCACGTCCAGGGGCCCAGACCTGACCTAGATGTGTTCTGGGGGACAAGGGATGGAGAGAGGTGGTCCAGGAACTCCCCAGAGCCCTGGGTGACTCCACATCCCTGCCTGGGTCCTGTCCTTGCAGGTGTCCCCATGGTTACAGTTGGTGTGTGGGTGCTCACCAGGCTGCAGTATGACAACCATGGGTAAGAGCAGTTCTCCCTCTTCCTTCTCAGGCCAGTTTGGCCATGTGTCTCCACCATCCAAGTCCTGGGAGATGTTTTCTGCTGCTCCCCATGCGAAGGGAGCAGAGGGCTGGGGGTGGTGGCATGGTGACACCTGGGCTACAAGGGTGCTACAGATGGGGGGCAGAGCCATTTCTCCTCTCCTGTAGC